GGTCATATTGGTGTTAATGAGAGTTTAATGATCATAATGAAAGAAACTTGGACACAAATGAATGTTTATTTTCTGTAAATGAACAGCAAAAGGTGTATAGTTATTTTTCCTACAGTGCTTTCTTTTTTTATGTAACTCTCAATTCCGATTGAACTGAAAAGATATAAACTGAGCCGAGTGACTCAAAATGAGTGCAATTTTCTTTTACCTAAACAGAAGGGAGACCTAGTTGCATTGAGTCTAATTTTCTTTAATTGAATTTAAGCCAATGATTTAACTTGTGTTTACCTGAGTGGCCATTCTGGTTGCGTAAGGTTTTGAATCCTGTTGATCATTAGACTCTTTTTTTTGAGTAAAGTTAACCTGAAATCAAACCTACTCTAGGAAATATTTTTGCCTGAACTATGTGTTGTATGGTTTTCCTTTCCAAATGAAATATATCAGTGGCTGAATGCCTGCAATCGTGAGTAAGTTAATCTCAAGAAATTATTAAAAGTTGTTAATTATTGTTCACTGTTCACCTTAAAAGCAGCTGAAAGTACATGATTGTTCACGCCACAACACATCATTTTGCTTCTCATTTCTGCTGAGGTAATTTCACTTTTATGCAATAACAGTGATCAGCTGCCAAGAACTGTTTTGGATTTGCATTGGGTGTACTACCAGATGAAACATTCTAAAATAAACAAAATTTGTTACCCCATGCAGTAGTCTCTGTGTTTGTGTTTCTCCAACCAGGAGAAGAGCAGCCTCTCCCTTGTTATGGATGAAAATAAGAGAATTGTGAAAATGATACTGCCTTCACCTCAGAAAAAGGTGTCCAAGATCCATCAGCATTTAGTTAACAATAGATGTCACTTTTTGTAAACTAATAGACCATACTGGAATCTGTGCTTGACCTTGACTGACTATTTCTTTTCTTACTTTTCAATAATTTTTCAGAAAAGATTAAGACGGATTACCATTCTAGTAATTATGTATAATGAAAACGAATATTTTGTTCTAGTCCTCTTGAGAAAATATCATATCAGTTATCCTTTACTGATTAGTGATATGCAAGACTATTAGAATTGTTTTTGTGGCAACCAATTCAAGTCCTATGATTGCCTTATGATACAAACGGATGCTTGCTTCTGAGATTCTCACAAATTCATTCCTGCATGTTGGCAGCCTTGGAATATCTATGATCCCCTTCCAAACCCAATAATTCATGAATTTGTTTAAAATAAGGAAATCATAGCTATAACAGTTGTCTGGATGTGGATGTGGATGTATAGCACGTATTTTTACGATGTGAGGTTCCAGAAAATATCCATACCCCCCCTCCCTCCCCCTCACGGAAGGGATTGGAAATTCCAGAGGGGTGGGGGTGGGGAGTGAAAGGCCCAGAAAATTCCAGAGAGGGGTGGAGGAGGGGTTGGGGGATAATATATTTAATTTTTTGTAGACCGGTTCCATAATTCCCATCATAATGCTCAATTTTCGTTTGTTTGCCTTTAGTTTCCCGAGCCAGGGATGGAAAATTAATAGCACAAAATGAATGTGTTCATGGTAGTTCATAGGCTTGATTTCTATTGCCACACAAGCGAGCAGCTGGTGAGCGAAGTCCGTGTTGGTGAAAGTAGACAAGTAAATTCTGTAAATTTCAATCGCTTGGATGACTGCCACACTTACGTAGTAAGGTGCTTCTGTCACTTTGAACTGTATCATCTTTGCTGGCAGATATTTACGCTGCAGTTTGTCGTTATGCATCAGCGGTCTGGATGGATAATGCGTCCTCTAGTATAAAAACAGCCAATATGTATCAAACACTTGGGAGAGTATTTCACCACAAACCAAACACCATAAATTGCATCAAAAATACAGGGCTACGCTGTGCTATAATTTAGACTCTCTTCTCGGTGTTTGAAAATGTGTTGAATTGTTGTCATGTCTGTTATGATCATGGGATGGAAGTCAAAGTAATGAGTAGAGAAAACATCAGGTAACACAGGTTTCACAACTTTTTTCTCAAGCTTATTCCTTTTATTTGCTGTTGACACTGGCAAGATTCACTACTTCCCTGGCTGGTAGAAAAAAAGTAACAAACTCAAGAATTGAAATGAAAAATCACCACCCAGCTGTAATTCTGTGCACAATGAATTTTGTGGAAACAAATAGTATATGTATTAAAGGAAGAGATAAATTATTGTATAGTAGCACAAGCAGTACATATCTAGATCATCTATTGTTATTGTCTTTCTGCTGTAAGACTCTCTTGTAAATTTGTTATTACCCATAAACCTTCACAACAGTTTTAATTGACCCATTCCAGTGCCAAGATGGAAATAAAAGGCAATTTAGCCATAGTACTTTAATTGACATCCATCCAGAGGTAATTATATCCTCAGATCTCACTTCTTCAATGGGGAGGAGACCCTAGAGAAGGCCAGATAGGAAAACGCAATAAATTCAAATCCCTTCCTCTGCATTTATTTGTGAATTAGTTCTTAATGAACCCATAATAAATATAAATAATCTCCTTCACCTATAAGAACAATGAGGTTGAAATTTGCAAAATTCTAAGAATACTTAAGAATTAAACCTTAGGCTGAGGCAGAGATTTTGAAAAGAATATTAAAAATTCGTAGTTACAATACAGTTATGTTTCTAACCCTAACCTAAACCATATTAAATTAAACAGCAAAGCTAGCCAAAAAGCAACAAAAACAGCACTAGCCGAATGTTCGATGCTAACAACATTTCTGCAAGAAGTTGTGTGCATTGTAGCATTGTAGCCCTGTAGGCTGACTCTAAAATTACTTAACACCGTCCATACGCCAAATACATTTGACAACAGAAATGTCATATGCTATAATCCAGGAATATTCACAAGAACATTTTCAACCTAAAACTGGCAGAAAAATAATAATATTCAGCCTCGGCAGGAAAAGCAATATTATTATTAGAAAAAAGTGAATATATTTCAAATTACAATTCGAATAAGCCCAGTCCTAATGTAGATGGAATACGTGCCCCGACACGAAATCAGAAACGATTTTCCGTAGAGAAAACAAGGGTCACAAAAAACGAGCAAAAGCTCCCTTTAGATTTCAAATTCGAACATAAACCGTTCAAACTCTCTCATCCCGCTCTACTTTGTTTCTGTTCGCAGTAAATCTAATTGCGCATGAATATAGAACAGAAAAAACAGCACATGAGGCCGCTTGTGGCGAGCTGCAGCTC